TCAGTGGCTGCTTTGATGGATTACTCAAAGCAGCCACTGACCTGGACCTGGATTACTGAGATGCATCAGGACATAAAGCTAAAAAGTGGGAAATCAATATCGGACATTAATATCGGCCCAGTTTTACATATTGGGCCTATATACTAAAATAACGACCAATATCGGCCGATACCGATGTTAATGCCGATATACAGTATAGTGCATCCATAATTCTAGTCAACTAACAGCAGCATCACCAATCTGTTCTGTGGTAATCACTGTGTGAAATGCTTTGAATCAATTGCATCACAAGAACCTCAGCTTTCCAACTGTTTTCTTCAAGTGCACCTGRTTATACCAGCTCTTTACTGTCTAGAAAATCACTGGGTTGTGAGGAGTTATCTAAACATCTTTCTATGGTTGTGCACAGGGTCCTTGAGTTCTCCAGTTCAGCATGGTTCAGGTCTTGCATGTCACACTCGGCTATAAAAACCCACAATACCCTCAGTTAAATGCTATTGGAGGCTTCTGAATGGTTGACCACATACCAGTGGGTGAGTTCACAGTGTCTGCTTCCCTCTCCTATATTCAGTCTCATAAACAAACAGTGCATTGAAGTGTTTTGTTTTGCTCTTGATATGCAATTAAGCCCGAATTGCTACTCCAAACAAGAGCCCTGATTCAAAGTCAGCATTTTTTTAATCACTCAAATTACACAAAGTACCAGGAAAACAGTCAAAATAAGGAATAAAAGGGGAACTGACAGATTAAATCTATGGTCTACCTGCCTTTAATATCTTTCTGGTAAAGCTCTGCCCCACAARTCTGACCCCTAACAGATTGTTTAAATCAGTTTTAAATCTTCCCATCCTTCATTTACTTTAATCCCATCATCATAACCATTCCTGTAAATCAAACTAAAATCATGTCATCACTAGGATTAGCTGCTCCAAACAAATCAGTGCGCATAAAAGCCAAGTCACCCTTGAACACACATATGCAGTACACACACACATATATACTGTACACARGCACGCGTGCAGCCCACATACCAGGCTCAGTGTCCCGCTGGGCTGTTTAGAGTGAAAACATTCACAGGGCTGACGGAGAYAGTCAGGGAAACATTTCTTTCGGTGCAAGCAGAAAAAAACACGAGCTGGGCCTGTTGTTATTGCGCCGTCTTGGGGCGCTGCTTTGTTTGCTCTGACAACAGCAGAAACTTTAAATTGAGGCCCCAGATTGAGCCAGAAACCAGAGCGGAGCACACCACTGGAGGTGAGGAGGAAGCCTTTAGAGTCCGTGAGGCCTCTAAAGGTTGTGTGTTATTACATGTGTGTGTGCTCTCACTGGCAGTCATGCCATCATTGAGCCCAATGATTACAGGGTCAGGGAGCGAGTCGGTGTGTTTGCGTCCATGTGTCTGTGTGTAACTGTCTGCATGTACTTATATGACCACAGGCCCGTGCACATGACACAGTTTGGATAATTGCAGATCACACGGAGTTCAGAGTTCCCAGTTCTTAAAGGAGCAGGTCGACCAACTGTYCAGACTTGGAACAACAAAGCTCAGAGTTAAAACTGTATAGGATTGATTTTAATCCCAGATTTGGTTTTAGGCCACTGCCTTTCATTTTCTGATCCTTATGAAACCAACTAAACCAAAACTTGACAACGTTTCCACCTCTACTGCCTTTCCACAACTGCTCTCTCTTGTCCCGGCAGTTGCATCTTTCAGTGCTTATAAATGCCAAACTAGCAAAAACAAGTAAAAGACGACCCCAAAACCCCAAAAGAATTTCCTGCTCATTTTCATTACCCCCACCCCCCACCACCCCCCATCAGCTTCTCTATCAAATCCTTCCAAGCCCACTTCCTCCTTCTGCTTCTCCTGACCTTGAACCCTCCATCTTCCACCTGGTTTTCTCTAAAGACTCATGCATGGGAGTCATTTGGATGGAGAGACAAACAGGATAAAAGAAAATTCTTTTAATAAAAATATTTTGAGATCATCACCCCAAACACTGAATAACATAAAAACAGATGTGTCAAGTTAAGCCAATACTAAGATGGAGAAAGAAGGAAGAGAAAAACAATAATAATAAAAAAAATGTGCGGGTGAAAAGAGTAAGAGATTGAGGGAGGAAACAGAAGAAGAGSGAGACTTTCACGCATGATTAGTGTCTCAGGTACATTCCAGTGACATGCAGGTTGAGGCATGGTCTGGACGGACTCTGGACGCCACGAAAGTGACAAACCATTAAGTGCAATCTCACAACTTCATGGAGAAACTTGTTCTCGGGCTTAAACGCTTGAACTCACCTGACGATGAAGTCAAATTCGGAGCCTGCAAGCATGAGGACACCTAATAACGTAGAAAATGCTCCATCGAGCACTGGCGCAAACATGTGCTCCAAAGCCAGCACTGCCCGCTTGTGGCGATCCCCTATGGCTGTCAGGAACGCCTAGAACACATAAACACAGTTTCAATTTCACTCTCTGGCAGGTTGTTTACTGCAGAAKAATTTAGAGGTAAAAATGACTTTAATTTTTAAGATTATTAAAGAGTAAAAGTCCCCCCAAAAAACCAAAATGAACTTAATTGCCCACGCATACCAGAGCCACGTGGACGGTGAACTCCACGCCAATGCCCACAGAGGCGATAAGAATGACAACAGGGACGGCACTCAGCTTGATTCCCATCAGCCCCATGAAGCCAAACAGCTCCACGGTCATTAGAGAAAGCACCAACACCTGAGGGAGAAGAAATGTGAGAGTTCAGGTTATTGTAAGGCACAGATAAAAGTCTGGTTTAAACCACTGCGGTTTGGATCACCGGAACATGGAACACATGACTTTTTTTTTTTCTAGAGGCTTTGCTTGATGATAAAATACGCAAGATGGAGTTTCAAGCCTCATATATTGATTTTTGCCAAAAGCAAGCTTATCTAAAGTTCACAAAAAATCATTTTGAGTGGGTAATCATCTCACAACTTATACCAATGTTTCCCAAACCGTTTTAGCTTTTGAGCCACATAAAACCAGACTTGTGCCCCCYACCATGTTTTGGGTGATAAACATTGGTTTCAGGTCAAACAAATAAAGGCATAATATTATTTGTTATGCTACTTTTATCTGCTTTTAAGTACACTAACTGTCTTGGAAAAATAKATTATCCTTTAAAGTCCTYCATTTCTTCTCAGGCCAAGAGTCAGTGACCTCTTTTGCTTACTTTAAAATGTCATTATGTTTTATGATTTTACTCTTTATCTTCTGTTTTCTCTCGGACAAAGTAACAGGACAATATTTGTTCAGAAGTCATCATTCTTGTCGCTGGTTATCAAACATCATCCTCTCCTTGGCCCAGTTTGTCTGTTTGGATAACATACTGTATAAATGCGTGTATTTGAAACTGCCTCGGGGCACACATTTTGTACCACTACCCTGTGTGACATGATGTGTGTCTTGCAATTGCAATAAACCCTGTTGACCATTCACAGAGTACTTTTTGTTCTTGGATCTCGTGTTTCTGTCTAGGTAAAATAAAGATTTCCACAACACTAACCACACACTTTTGTAACAACTAAGGCAAAAAATAAAGAAAAGTCGTCAGTGGTATTTTTTTAATGGAATTAATTCTGAAAATATTTTCAAGATTTTGATGTTTCAGGACACACAGTGGGGTCCCGGCCCCAACTTTGGCACAGTCTTATACAAACTATAATGAAAATGAATAAAAARGCTACGTGAGCCTCTTTATTCAAGAGTWACTTAGGAATGAATCTAATTGCAAATAAAATGTGGTTAGTACAATTTTTCTTTGACAGATATGTTTTGTGTTGGAGTTTAAAAGCAACCATACTTTCTATACAAACTYGTAAGACAATGAGTCTCATCAATATGCAGTAGGAAAGCTAACCCTCGACCTGAGCTTTAACTTTTACTTGGACTGTGTGTCAAGGTAGTGAGCACACTTGTGGGTGAAACGTGTGTTTGTGGAGGCAGAGCAGGACAGGACAGGAGCTGAGAGTAAATGCCATTATCAGCGGACAGGTGTCGTGTTTCAAGGGGCCCGATTCCTTTGAAGAATCCTGATGTGGGCAGAGGATGCAGCTGTGTTGTAAACGAAACTGCAGGAGGTGTTTGTGTGTGCTGTTATCTAAACTTCGTTCTCCGGTAACAAGTGGGCAGAAACATTCAAAGAAAATGTGCTTTTGGTTACGTTTATGGAATTGCCGTAAACCTGTAAGCAAACTTGGCTAAACTTGTCTGAGTTGGTTGAAAACTTTTTAAAATATTGCAGAATAACTAGGTCAACTATTACGATTTGCCAAAGAAACTGAAGTTTAAAGCAGTCGAGTTAGATCTGCACAAGTATAAACAAACGCTGAGTCTATTCGAGGCTGAAGATGAATAGCTACAAGGTTTTGATCTTGTGGGTCTGGCTGTAGTCTACTCCTCTACACCTCTCCAGAACAAGCCTTTTGATCTTGGTAGTAAAACCTGAAGGACGAACATAAGTTCCTCTCCTCCCATGTTTTAAGGCCTCGGGTGGCCAGGTCACTGCCTGATATAAAATARAGCCCACCAGAGAGAAAATACTAGACTGCTCTGTGTGAATTATGTACCTGCATGTTTACACATTCATACAGAGTGTGCGCTAGTAGACGTCCAGGAGTGCCCAAAGTGGGTTCATGTGCTCGCCTGTGTATGTGACTGAGTGCTTGCTCATGTCTATAGAAACACATTGTGTAAGAAGAGGACAAGAGGGAAAGATGTGCATTCTTTTTTTTTATTTTTGTCTTTTTATGATTAAAGTAGAAGCTAGTTACTGGAGCAACTTTGTGTCCTCTTCTGTTAATTTCAGCACTGATGTCTGGGAGCGTTGGACTAGACTAAACAGACTGGCCCTAAGAAAACACAGGATAAACTCAGGTGACGGGAGCTATAAACACACACTGCAGTCTCTTGGTGAAACCTGTTCACAAATACTGATTGTGGACCAAAAATGTTACTACTGCATCGACTGGTTATGCCTCTAGACCAACCCACTCTCACTCCCGACTCGTCAACATACTGACGCTTGGTCAGGTGGCCGTCTGTGTCCAGTTTTGGATGTGTCAGGTACCCCTCTCGCGTCAGTTCTTAAAAGGATCCACAGACGGAGCCATTTCATTTACATGCAAAGCATTCTGGGTAAATGATGACGTCGATAGGTCCTCGGTGCGAGGCTGCTAGTGAGCTATATCCACCCTGAAGAAGAACCTCAGCTTAGCCTGTTAGCTTTAGCGCAAGCGCCAACGCCATATTGCCTTATATGTATTAGCTCAGCGCTAGCG